GCCCTCCACAACAAGGAACTAATACTATATTTGTCCTTCTGTGATTGACTTATTTCACTCAGCATAATGTCCTCCAAGTTCATCTATATTATGTGGTGTTTTGCAGACTCTACATTATTCTTTAGTCCTGCATAGCATTCCATTGTGTGCATGAACCATAGTTTGGTCATCCACTCTTCTGCTGATGGGCATGTAGGTTGTTTCCATCTTTTTGCTATTGTAAATAGTGTTGTGATGAACATGGGTGTGCATATATCTGGCTCTCACCTCTCTAGGATATATACCTAGAAATGGGATTGCTGGGTCAAATGGTATCTCCAATTCCAGCTTCCTAAGGAATCACCATACTGCTTTCCACACTGGTTTTAACACTTCACAGTCCCACCAGCAATGTATGGGAGTCCCAATCTCTCCATATCCCTGCGAGCATTTGTTATTATCTGTCTTGTTGAACCCTGCCATCAGTGCTGGGGTGGGATGGTATCTCATTGTTGTTTTGATTTGCATCTCACTGACGGCCAATGATAGTGAGCATCTCTTCATGTATTAACTGGCTGTCTGAATATCCTCCTTGGAAAGTGTCTAATCATGTCTTCTGCCCATTTTTCAATTGGATTATTAATTCCTTTGCTGTAGAGCCATTGGAGTTTTCTATAAATCTTAGAGCTAAGTCCTTAGCCAGACATGTAATTATCAGCAAATATGAATTTGTTCATGTCATTTTTGTTATGTGTTTTTTCATGGTATCAATTTCTTTTTTCCGTATAATTTTCTATGCTGAGCTTGTTTTGTTTATGAATTGTGGTATCACTTCTTTTGTTGCTATTGTTTTAGTATTCGCTAAATATTTGTGCTGGTCATGTTTTTTTATTTTGACATGACGGTTTATTTTTCTTTGAGGTTACCCTGTGATTTATAGCTTTCTTCCCAAGTTTGGAACAGTCCATTCTATCTTGTAGTTGTCTTGACTTCCCTACCAGGTAGAAGTTCTGTAACTAGACAGTTTTTTTCCCTCTTTTCGATTTGTAGTTGTCTGCTTTTGTCAAGTGATGTCTCTGGCTCCCTGTTTACAATCTTGTAGGCTTATTTACTTTGGATACTTCCATAGCTGAGTTGGTTTCTGAATTATGTCATCATGTATGTTAATGGTCAGTTGTTGTTTGCTGTTGTTGGTTCTCTGTCCAAAGGACTCCCTTTAGCATCTCTTGTAAGATTGGTCTGGTTTTAACAAATTCCCTTAATTTCTGCTTATCTGCAAATGTCCTAATTTCACCATCATATTTGAGGGACAATTTTGCTGGGTACATAATTCATGGTTGAAAATTTTTCTTTTTCAGGGTTTTATGTATACCATCCCATTGTCTTCTTGCCTGCATGGTTTCTGTTGAGAAATATGAGCTTAGTCTTATTGGTTTCCCCTTGTAGGTAACTTTTCGTTTCTCCCATGCTGCTTTCATGATTCTTTCTTTGTCTTTGGTTTTGTTGGGTTTGATGATGATATGTCTTGGTGATTTTCTTTTGGGGTCTATCCGGTTTGGGGTTCATTGGACTTCTTGAATGGGTATATTCTCATCTTTCATCATACCAGGAAAATTCTCTTCCAACAAACCTTCGACAATCACTGACAGACTGCACAAATGGTATTATTAAAAAAAAAAAACTAAATTCCTAAAGGTCCCTTTCTCACTTTATCAATCTTATGACCCTCCCCAGTCCTCACCATCACCCACATTCTCATTCTCATTCCTCAATCCTTATTTTATTTTGAGGAAAGATAGGGTTTGGATTTTTTTCAAATTGAAAGTAATTCTGTGGTTGCTGTCTTAGTCCTCAACTGCTGCTCTGACAGAAATGCCACACATGGATGTCTTTAACCAACAGGAATTTATTCTCTTACACTTTAGGAAGCTAGAAGTCTGACTTCAGAGTGCCAGCTCTAGGGGAGGACTTTCTCTGGGTCTCTTGTTCCTAGGAAGATATCATCACAAGGACTTTGGGTCTAAAGGATGCACATTCTCTTTCTTGGTGATAGTAGGTCACCTTCTCTGGTCCCTTTTCTCTCCTTTTATCTCTTGTAAGATACAAGGCATTGTGGGCCACACCCCCAAAGAAGCTCCCATTACATCAGATCAAGGCTGTGATGGGACTAAAGGCATTGTAACCCACTCTTAATCTTAATCCTTTTACACCTGACTGGCTTATCACATCAGATCACATCATGGTATATCATTACATATCTGCACATTACATCATTATATAACTTCTAAACAACAGAGAGCCCTGCCAAGTTGATACAAATTTGGGGTGACACAATTCAATCCATGACAGATGCCAAGTGCCAAGATCAATAAATAAACTGTGTCTTGGTCTGTGATATGAAAATTTGTATCTCTATTTCTTCTATATGGACTATAAATGCTTAGAATTCACTGAGTTTATTTCAAATTTGGCATCCATGAACTTAGAAGAGGCTAATTTTACCTCACATTCAAAGGAATGGTGGGTCACCCACCCTCCACTCCACAAATCATGAATCCATAAAGATAAAAGCAGACCATCTCTTATGGTAACCCTGGGGTATAGGGGCTAGAGATGCCTCAACCTTAGTGGGAACATGGTCTAGATATGATGATACCATTTCTCAGAGCCTGCTCAGGTAGAGCCTTCTATGTGCACATGCTCAGAACCTTTGGCTGAAATAGGTATAATAATTAGTATAAGGCGATGATGGTGATAGTGGTTGTAGTTACCTTTTCTTTTTTTTTTTTTTTTTTAGTAAAACAATCAGTCAGCCTTGGGGGCATTGGTGGTTCTGTGGTAAAATTCTCACCTTCCATGTAGGAGACTTGGGTTCAATTCTTGGCTAATTCACATCATGCACAGCCACCACTACCCATATGTCAGTGGAGACTTGCTTGTTGCTTATGGTGCTGAACAGGTTTCAGCAGAGCTTCCAGACTAAGACAGACTCAGAAGAAAGGCCTAGGGATCTACTTGCAAAAATCTGCCAGTGAAAATCTTATAGCTTCTGGATCACAATAGTCCAATTCACTGTTGATCACAGGGATGGCAGTTTGAACCCACCCAAAGTTGCCGTGGAAGAAAATCTGGAAACCTGCTTCCAAAAGGTCACAGCCTTGAAAAGCCTATGAAGCAGTTCTACTCTGGACACATGAACTTGCCACGAGTTGAAATCAACTTGACAACAATGAACAACAAGTTATTTCACAATATATGATTTTTTTTTTTTTTTTTTTCTAAACAAATTAGAGGGGTGTTTTGGTTCTCTAGTGTGCTCTAACAGTAAATACCACAAGTGTATGGCTTTAACAAACAGGAATTTATTCTCTTACAGTTTAGGAGGCTAGAAGTGCCATCTCTAGGGACTGGGTGAAAGGCCCTCAACCTTGGGCTTCAGCTCTACCTCTTGTTTCTGGCCCACTGAAGCTGGATCTCTTAACTCACACAGCTGTTGGCTGCTGAGGTTGACAAACCCAAGGGCAACAAGTAAAAAGAAACAGTCTCAAAATTATCAAGCAACATGGCAGGCCACTACTTCAAGTCCAGAAACAGTCTCAAGATCAGCAGACAACATGGCAAGCCACTAAGATGAAGACTCAGTCAGGTGTGCCAAAAAGTTTGAGACTTTATTCAAAGGGTCTTATAAATTGGAAACAGATTCCATCCCTAAGGAAGCTACTCACCTGCTCACAGTAGATTTCACCATTGAGTGGATCACCAGTCTCGTCATAAGGAATAACTACATCCATCTGCCCAGCCACTCAAAACCAGGCTCAGCCAAGTGGACATATAACCTTAACTATCACAAGGGGTGAGAAAGAAATAATAAAGAGAAAGAGGGAAATTGAGAGAGAGAAAATGGGAAGTTTAAGTTAAAATCTGAGACAATTATTTGATGGATACTAAGAATAATTTTTCATTTTTTTAGGTGTGATAATAGTACTGTGTTGTTGTTGTTGTTGTTATGTGCCATCGAGTTAGACCCGACTCATAGCGACCCCTCCTTGGGTTTCCAAGGCAGTATCACTATGGAAGTAGATTGCCCCATCTTCCTTCCGAGGAGGGGCCGGTGGGTTTGAACTGCCAGCCTTCTGGTTAAAGAGAATAATTATTTTTTAAAGACAGGTACTCAAATATTTACAGATGAAGTTACATGATTTGCTTCAAAATAATTCAGGGGATGTAGAGGAAGAATTAAAAAAAAAAAAAAATTCCTTAAAGTTGGATCCAACTCATAGAAACCCCCCTTTGGGTTT